TTCACCCACAATGCACCTGACAGAGATTTAACATCCAGAATAACTAATGAACTCAAAAAACAAAGAATCAGGAAAGGAAGTAACCCAATTAAAAGTTGGGCTAAGGAGCTGAACAGAGAGTTCTGAAAAGAAGAATTAACGATGGCCCAGAAGCATCTTAAAAGATGTCCAACACCATTAGTAATTAGGGAGATGCAAATTAAAATCACATTAAGATTTCATCTTACTACAGTCAGACTGGCTAAGATCAAGAGAACAAATGATACTAAATGCTGGAGAGGATGTGGGGAGAGTGGAATGTTCATCCACTGCTGTTGGGATTGCAAACATGTACAACCCCTATGGAAAGCAGTGTGGAGAACCCTTAAAAAAACTACATATGAACCTACCATTTGAACCAGTTATACCACTCCTTTGTATATACCCAAAGAAGGCACCCTATTGCAGAGGCACTTGTACATCCATGTTTGTTGCTGCTCTTTTCCCAGTAGCTAAGAGATGGAAGCAACCTAAGTTTCCCTCAACTGATGAGTGGATAATGAAAATGTGGTTCATTTATATGGTGGGAGTTTTACTCAGCATAAAGAAAGATGAAATCATGAAATTTGCAGGTAAATGGATGGAACTAGAAACTGATACACTAAGTGAAGTAACACAGACTCAGAAAAACAAACGACATATTTTCTTCTTCATATGTGGATCCTAGCACCAAATCCTTATAAGTATATGTATGCAGATATTACTATAGGAACCAGGATAATGAAAAGGAACCTGGAAGGTAAAGGAAAAGAAAGAATCTGGAAGAGAAGAACAGTAGGAAACGTGTTAAAAAGGGAGATATGGGTAAAAATGTGGTTATTTTAAGGGAAGGGGAGAGGGACTGTTTTACAAGGAACTTTAGGGATAAAGGGAAAGTAGGAGCTCAAGAGAGGTAGGAGAAGGGTATTAAGGGAGAAATGGGAAAAATGGGGGCACTTTAAATAGAGAAACCACTCTGGAAGGTTAGACAATGCAAGATATAAATAATGTCTAGCTAGTTTTAAAAAAACAAAGCGAATCATATTTGTCCAACAATCTACTGACAAATTATACATACAACTAGCTCAAGGAACATAATAAATGACTAGTCAAGATTTATCTGAGAACCTTTGGTTTTTCCAAAGCTTTATCTACATGGCACATTAAAAGTACCAGACCAGAGGAACTAACCTTCTTCAATGTTTAATGAGGCCTATACTAATTTGGTCAGAGGGACTTAAAGGAAACTTTTTGCTCCTTGTTCTCCATGGGTGACTAAGTTCCAAGGGACTATGAGCAGCTCTCAAAGTGTCCTGTAGCTGTGGTGAGTCACCTGTCCTCTTGATTAAGGAGGCCATGGACACCCCACGAGCTGGACTTGAAGCAGTGTCCAGTCTACAAAGAGGAAGGTCAACACAAAGGAAATATTTCTCCATTCTTTGAAGTGAGCCATCCATGGTCAAGCAGGACCTCGGTCTTATTTTCACATAAATGGAACTGGTAGAGGAAAGGAGCCAAGGGCTCCTCCTAAGCCCATGTGACCCCTGAAGAACAGATCCTCTAATGACTTTAAAAGTAAAAATAAATTGGTTTATCTGGGACAACTGCATGGTCTTAAATACCCAAAAGGAAAGTATAATCAAAGATTAAAAGGATCAATATAATTTTTAAGAGTCTGTGTGTATATCTAAAGGCTACATAACAAGAAACAATGCCAGACAAGAGATACTTTCCTTGAGTTGTTGGCCATGGTGGCCCAAGAGATTCCCAGGCAGTAACTCAGCATAGAACTGGGAAAAGGAACATCAGACCCCATTCTTATCTAAAGGAATATTGGCAAGAGCTTGCTGCTAGATGAGGAAGAGCTGATCTTCCTAAAGCAAGGAGCTTTCAATAGGCTGACTAGACTCAGTGGATGGACAAGCACTGGGAAGTACTGGGAACACTGACAAAACAGTGGACAGTAACAGGGATGACAGAGTATATGGGCTCCAGTTGGAAGGGGACATGGGAGTGTGTCACTTAGGATGTGGGTATATAGATGAATAAACTTATTTGGGGTGTTCTATATGAAATACACACAAAAAATCAAACAATAAAAATGAGTTTATTTGAGGAAGAAGCATAAAAAATTGCTTCATGTTAATTTGTAGATGTGAAAAACATTACCATTGAAATCTACCTGATTACTTTATATCCATGCTCAGGTGCCAAGGATCCGAGAAAGCAACCAACTGTGACTAGTAATAATCATACATAGAGAGATTAGAGACACATGTGGAAACACCTGTTAGTTGCGTTAAAAATAAGTTTTTTTGTATGAAACAATATACTTTAATATTGAAATGGAGATCTTTTTAAAGGTTAAAACCTCACTCAATTTTATGTCTCATAGGGTTTAATCTGAGTACAATATTGTATAACTGCATTAACACAACTGTAAACCCAAAAATTTACAGTGAATTCTGAAAGAGATTCATCTTAGCTCTGGAAATTGTTATTGAATATGTTGATGTTGTAATAAAATGCTTCTTCTAATTATGTGGTTATTAAATAAATAACTAAAATGTATTTAATAATTTTTACATATTTTTAATTTTTAAAAATGTGTATGAGTATATTGTCTTCATGTGTGTAAGTACACCTGTGTCCTGCAGTGCCTACGGAGGTCAGAAAAAGGCATCAGATCCCCTGGAACTGGAGTTACATATGGTTGTTAGCCACCATGTATTGCTAGAAATCAAACAGTCAGTGCTCTTAACCTCTTCTGAACCATCTCTCCAGACCAAAGATGTTTATTTTAAAAAGTATTTTATTTATTTTTTTTATGTGTATGAATATATTGCTTGCATGCATGGAAGTCTACCTTTGTCATGCAGTACCCATAGTGGTCAGAAGAGAGCATTGAATTCCCCTGGAATTGGAGTTATGAATATTCTTAAGTGTTATATGGGTGCCAGGATCAAACCTGGGTCCTGTGCAAGAGCACCCAGTGCTCATAACCATTGAACCATCTCTCCAGCACCAAGATGTTTATATTTTAAGTATGTGTACAAATGTGGTACGTTTGAGAATATGAAGGAGATTGCAGAAGCCTGAGGATATACACACTGGAGCCTGTTCAGTTTGTTGTGAGCTGCCTCACATGGGTCATGGTGCTCCCACTGGTATTGTTTGCTAGAGCATCAGTGTCTCCTAAAATCTTCATGAACATGTCATGCAATAAATGACTTATAATTTTTTTTATTTTTTTTAAAAAGAGTATTCCAAAAAGGTCAGATCTTTCCAGTTGCTTTTAAGATTTTAAAAATTGTATTTGTATTTGTGTAGGTATGTTATATAGTAAACTGTTTTTTAAGAAGAAAAAGACTATTTTGGGAGGGATTGTGTGGAGGTCTGGGAAGAGTTGGAGGGGGAATAGATATGATCTAATTATACTGCATGAATGTATGAAATTACCAAAGAATAAATAAAATTTAAAATAATGCTTCAGTACATTTGTAATCAACCTAGTTTATTTCGTTTAAAATAAACAAAGTGAATTGTTAAATGTTTGGCAGAATTTTTCTTTCCCACAAAGTTTTCTGTTAGCTCAAAATGTCAACATTCAAAAAAAAGTAAGGTCCAACTAGTGAATAGATACTATTATAGCTTCATACATTCTTATCTAATTACAAGTCTAGTCAAATATTATGCTCAATTGAATAATGGGAAAACTTGCATTTTAGTCTCTATATGGAAAATATTTCAAGTACTTGAAATTTACAAAATAAATTTCTACCTCAGTAAACTAATAATTTTACATTATATTAAATATTGTATGTAGCATTAGAATATATTCAAGCCCCCTAAAATTCAAGTTCATACTATATTATCCATAACATTTAATAAAATGATGATAATTTTGTATTTATAGGATCACATTGTGAAAATATTAAGCAAATACATGTACTATGTTTTCAATTTTCAAACAATGAAGTTTATAAAAGGCTGATTCCATTAAATGGAATCTTAAAACTTACTTCTGTTACTAATTTGCTTTTCAGAGATAATTAAACATTTTAAACTTTCATCATAGTTTCTCCGCATTTCTTCTTCAGTAATGTATTCTGATATCACATGAATTTAAATCTAAATCCTTTTATATTCTGAATAATGATGAATTTAGAATGGTAATGAGTCAGTTCCCTGAAAACCTTAAAACTCAGGAGTTGCTTGTGTTCCAAGGACTTTTCTATACCTTCAAAACAGCAGAACTCCACAATGTGTCATGCTAGAAATAAACTAGAAATAAACATTACCTCAGTATTTGGCATGCATAGTTCCAGTACTGAGTTTTCAAAATCATAACCGAGAACAAAGGATTTTAACAATAGCTTAACTCTAAGATTCACTTTGAAACAGGTAGAAGTGAGCAGAAAGCACAAGGACAAAAAAGGAGGTTGGATAGAGCTGCATCACTTGGGGGGTGGGTGGAGCTATGATAAAATTGCGCTCTAGTTTTCTGTTTTCCACCTCATTATTCCTCAAACACAGATTCAAGCTTCATGGATTCTAAAAATTATGCTAAATTATGCTAAATTAGTCCTGGAGCCAGTACACGATATACAACTTGATATGTTCAAAGGCAGTTTTATTTCATATCATATCATGGGAAGATTTAAAATTTACTGACAGGTGATCTAAGGACACTATTACCTAAGAAGTATGAAAATTATTCAAATTAAAGATTCACCCAAAAGTACACATATTCACCTGGAAGTCACAACTCTGAAAACTTGCTAAAAGAACAGTAATGTAAGAACCAATAGAAATTAATGAGCAAAGTTTTAATGAGATTACAATCCTGGAAAATTAAAACCCCGGCTGGTATCTGGCTTAAAATTTCAACCTGAAGCATTTTAAAGTTTGTAGCTACCAGAGAAGACAGGAGATGGGGGTGATAAGTTGCTCTAAAATGTGCAGGTGGAAACTTACTGTACCTGTGTCCACATCCTTCACCTGTTGCCTGGATGGAGCTGGCTGACTCGACTTGGAGCTCCTGCAGTACTAACCCTTTGTTGTTTGGTCCAGGGAAGTCCATGCCTGTTACCACCTCCTCCTCTAGAGACTCCACGTAGAAAAGAGTTCTGGCTGGCTGCTGGGTGCCCTGCCCAGGAACCCCTTGCTGCAGCCTGGTGGCAACTGGTAGCAAGGTGCCATTCAGTGGACTGAAGGAAGAGGACGAAGAGGACGAGGAGGACGATGATGAAGACGGGGAAGAAGAGGAAGGTTTTTTCCAGAAAGTGCTCACACCGCTCCGGTCCTGACTTTTGAGCAGCCGACTCTGGCTGGGTCCCCAGTGCTCAAAGCTGCCGCCGCTGTCCTGTTGCAGGCAGCTGCCCACCGCTGGGCTGCTTGAGGACGGGGAGGGATGGCTGAATAGTTTCCAGCGGAGTCGCAGGATGTGCTTCACATCGAAGTCTTTTCTCCCAGAACCTGACATGCTTTATATAAAGTATGGAGGGCAATGGGACTGAAGCTCACGCAATAGCCTGGGCGGCAAACTGGGGAAGCCAACGGCTCCTGGGGGCAGTGGAGGATGCAGGATGCGCTCTGTGCACCCAGAGAACCAAACGAAGCCAGGCGGCTGGGCGTCCCAGCAGGCGGACACACCAGCAATGAAAGCGCTTTGCAGAGCCACGCGGCTCAGCCGCTCAGTCGCGGTGGGTTTTCTAGGACCTGGGCTTGGGGAAAGCACTGGTCCTGTTCAGAGGCACTCCTGAGGAGCTGAGAATCCAGGGTACGAGAGCGCGGGGACCCAGGTGGTGACCGCAGGAGGAAAGATCCTGAGGCAGGAAATGAGAGAAGGAGAGAGGTCTGTGCACTCCAAAGCTCCAGAGGTGGTGGCAGCTGGATACACCTCACGAGATACACTCGTGGCGGAGGTGTAGCCTGGAAGGTGTTCCGAGCTCCTGTCCTTGCAGTTCAGAGTTCAGCGCTTGAGGGCAGAGAAAGAGCCCCAAGTCGCGAATAAGTGCACCCCCAGCTTTCTCTGTGCACCTGCGCTCCTGTCCCTGGTAGCTGGGAGAATGCCTGCTAGCTTGCCCGGTATCTGAGGGAAAGTCAAATGCTTTCTGAGATGCAAAAAAAAAAAAAAGGGTGGTTTTATATTGTCAGTTTGTAAAAGAGAAAAATATATATCACGGAAAATATAGTGAAGCCGAGGAAAAGCCCGCCCAGGGATCTGTCAAGGTCCTCACAGTACGATTTTCTCTCTGCCTCAGCGCCTCCTCCTCCCCAGTCAGTGACGCAGATGTGCACTGGGGCCTATACTGAGAGATGGAGGGAGGGAGAGAAGGCTTCAATCTTCTTTATGCAAGTGAGTCTGCTGCTCTTATTGTCCTTTGCGTAAGTCCTGTCACCTTTTTTCAACGTCCTTCTTCACTACATTACTGTGTAGCAATAAAAGTAAAGCAAACAAGCAAAATGCTTTAGCATCAGTAAACACCAAACATGTATCAAGGCAGTGTAAACTTAATAGGCCGCCTCGATTTGCAGGTTGTAGGTTAATGACTTGAATTATTAAATAAGTCGCCTCCTTTAACCTTTAGCCTTGGTTTCTCTGAAATGAGATTTAGAAAGAGCAGGGGCACTGTTGTCAAAGTGTGGTGATAATGCCACCCTCTCTGTATCATCATTTTTATTCTGCTGTTAATGCGCCCAGACAATGTTTCACCCCTGGGGACGAGTAGCACGCTGTAGAAATTTGAAGATGGGCTGAATGCAAGCCACAGGCTTGGCAAAATCAATGTATTTGGTGGGAGCGTCAGAAGGAAAGCTGTTCACAGTGCAAAACAAGAATGGAATAAAATGGTTGCAAAGCATTTCAAGGAAAAACCTTCAGGAACATAAATCATGATATAAAATGCATAGAACAGTATGAACAATAAAAAAGCACATCCAGAGGCCACTATCCCGCAAATAGATGTTTGGAGAGTGAAATGTGTTTTCCCTTCATAACTGGATTCGCAAAGGTGCAGATTGCGGGTCTTTAAAAAAAAATGTTGGAAATGCCTTATCTTTTTTTTTTTTTTTTTTTTTTTTTTTTTTTTCTTTAGTGAGCCTTTAAAACAGAGCCAGTAACCTTTGCTAAAGGCTAGGGGACCAGGGAAGCAATGAGTTTCTTCATCCAATCACGTACATGGTGTTGCGGGTTCTTGAAATTCGCAGCTTCTGGTACAGCCAACAACCACATAGGAATCATTAGGTCCCGCAGTTAGCTTACTGCTCTGCTATCCTTGTTGAGCAGAGAACTTATGCAGAAACCAAGGGGAAATGTGACCTCTTCCTTAGACAAAGTTGGATATTTTAATAAAATAATAAATTAAATTCACAAAGGCCACACTTTCAAAGGAAGAAAAATTTCCGTTGTGCAATTTAAATATTGATTTATACCACAACAGCTGGACTAAAATCCCCATGTGCCTGGATTTTTCTCTCAGTATTCAGTGATTAAAAAAAAGAAGAAAAAAGAAAACAACAACAAAAAGCAAAAGACTTTCTAAAACAAATAAAGGTGACAGATCAGTTTTTTTTTACAAAAACTTTAGTGAGAATTTCATACACATATAAGGTGTTTTGATCAAATCCATGCCGACTGCCTCCATTGCTACACCTCCCATGTCTCCCCATCACTTTTTTCTTTTTCTTTTTTTTCTTTCATTTATTTATTTTTGTTGGGCTTTTGGGTACTCTGACATTCGCCCTCTGAAGAGGTAACCCTAAAATCTTTTAAGACTTAGATAGAAGCTCCCAAATACTTTTGATGTTTTTGGTCTTTGGAACAGATCATTTTTATCCAAGAGTGGAATCAACTATTTCCCTCAGTGAAGAAAACAAGTATATGAAAGAACATTCCAAACAAGGCAGGCCAACTTGCTGTGAGTGATAAGGTAGAAGTGAGAACTTAATAACCTTAATTGATTGAATTCTATAAAAATTACTATCCTATGGATTTTCTACCATGATTCAAAAATTAAAATTGTATAAATAGGCCTGAATGATAAATATAAAATGCAACTATATCAATAGAGTAAGTAATAACAATGTTTAAAACAGTAAAGATACTACAGGCTTAGCATATTACTACTATAGGACCAAAGATCAAACTCAAATAACTATCTATTAGATATGATTTAGTATTTTAAACTAATATATATAATTTGACATTTTATATGATTTAGGTAACATAAAACATTAATCTATGCAGAGCTAAGTTTTAAGAATTGGAAGAAAATTATTTGAAATTCAAAGAAAGATAGTAACACATGCTGGAATATAAAAATTCATTTCAAAATCTGCATATAATAAATGTTACTGAAATAATTACACTTCCTAGGGAATATATTTCAATATAATCAATCTGAATTATAAAATCAAAATATCAGAATGTACAAAATGTTTTCATGAAAGTAGTCTAAACCGAAATGACCACTGTGTATCACTGTATTATTTTCCCTTTGTACAATATCAAGAAAGAAAGAATGAAGAAAAATTGAGGAGAAAAGGAATGAGGGAAGATCTAAAGGAAGGAAAGAGAAAGATAAATGAAGGAAGGGAGGGAAGGAGAGAGAGAGGAGGGGATAAAAGGAAGGAAGGAAGTAGGAAAAATGAAGGGAGGACCAGGAATGGGGTCGAAGGAGAGAAGAATTTGCTTGGATTTCTTGGTAGTATAAGATCTTACAAAAAATACTTGAGATTTATCATGTAAAATATTGCACTATTTATTTATCCACTATTCAAAAGTTTAAGGAAACTAATTGACCATTTACAGCCCAGATCCATCACCAGTAGTCGTGCGGATGAAAGGCTGGTGCTCTCTGCAGCCTGCTGGGAGAGTTCACACAGGAACATTGCTTAGCTTATCCTAATTCATAATTGACTTTCATGTCAATTAAATTAAATTTAAGATGAACAAGTTTATGGAGAAGAAAGCATTGACATAAGAAAATCACATTTAGAATCCCAGCAATAACACATTGTTTTAAAGACAAAATAAATTCAATTAATGTAACACTACTGCTGACTTAATTGGTCTTTCAGACAGTCAACCATGTTTGCCAGTGAGTACCCCTATGGTTGCCACAGGTTCCATACAATATAAACCAAAGAATGGTAGTCAAGACAGAGACAACCTGGAGAATGTTTTGCTGATTGCTACAACACTCAAATATAAAACTGCTCACATGAAAATTAATTTCTATTCATTTTAAATTTAACAACCTGAAAATTTTCTTCAACAAATATTTACAACATAAGAAAAAGTGGATTTCCATCCAAGCAATTTATTGGCTGAAATTTATCACTTTTCCTAATCATTTTTAGAACAAACATGATAAAATGTATGTTTATCTGATAATAGTGGTTTTGATTATCTTAGGTGTTTGTGACCAGCTATTTTACTTTTAGTTTGAAAGTTCTTGCTTTCTGATGGATCCTGTAGCTTTTATAAACTTAGCATTAGCAAAACATTTAACAATGTATTTTAGAGAAAAAAAATCAACTTATTTAAATTTAGTGAATTCCTCTTAAAAATAAGGGTTAAAATTCTGGAAGTGTAAATTAAAAAAAATTGTTTATTAACCTTTTCCTCTCAGATAAGATTGAAAAATAATGCCACATAGCACTAATCTAAATTATCTTATACATAAAGTCAAACTTATTGCACTTTAAAACAAAGAAATAAAATATATTCAGTGTCTGTTAATTCTTCATCATAGCCTTGACATGTTTTATAGTTAAGTAACAACTAACTGACTTCTTAATAAACACCTATAGCTGTTAATTGATCTTCAGGGGCCATTTTTATCCACTTTATCTTATGTTTGATTGACCTTTTGATTTAGAACTAGCCTTACATTTATATACTTGATGAATTTTCATTTACCTTACTGTTGAATTGCATGAAATGATGAATTCAAAACATTAAAAATGCATTAATATAAATGATGATCCAGGTTTTATGTCTACTTCGTTACCAATAATCTATGCTGAAGATTCAAGCTAGTTTATGGGAATTCTTTCTTTTTCTGCTTTTTTTGAATCTTGTCTAGTTATGATTAAAAAAGTAGTAACCCTCATGTTGGTGTAGCTCTTGACCAAAAGTTAATATATAATTATAGATTTAAAGACATATATATTTAATATAAGTATGTAGACATTTAATAATTTAATATATTGAAATATTTTATTTCCAAGAAAATGTCATGGTGTATAAAAGCATTTGTTTGCAACAATTTTTCATTTTTTCACTACATTGGAATCATTAAAAGTGCTACTGCAAGTTTTTTATTTGCAAGTGATTTATGTTTGACCAGTATAAGAAAATGATATCATTATTTTATATGATGCACTTAAATTTGCACTTAATGTTGATCTGAATCATGCATTCTCCGAAGCCCAAATCACTGCAGTCAAAATAATACACATATTTTGTAATTTATGA